TTTCCTCATTATCTGGAAAAAAAATCTGTTTTTTTCCGTTCATAATCGGCTTTTTTGCATTTATTCCCCTTGTTTTTCTCTGTGCTGCTGAAATCTCCCATCTCATTATCAGTATTTTCCTCAGAGCTCTTGGTCATGTTTTTTCCACTGTAATCATCATCATCAGAGTTTAAATTCGAACGGTTCATCGCTTTCTTTTGCTCGGTCGTAGCTGTCACGTTTGGAAAATGATCCATATCAGTTGGCCTGTCAGGAGATTCTGTTGTTTCCATGACACCACTGAACGAAGCACTTCCAAGAACATCGGTGTAAGTGACGGCTTTAACTTCGGCGGGGCGCTTGGGCAGCCTGACTATGGCCACAGTGTGATTGGTGAATGTAGAATCGCCGAGCTTTTTGGTGTTTCTGTGTCTTGCCTTCACGTGTTTGGCTCTCACGGAGCGGCTGGTGGAGGTGTGGAGCAGGGTTGCCTTCATCTCAGCAGGTTTGCTTTGGTTGGGTGTCCTTAGCTCTGATTTTTGCTTTGATGCAAATGTGAGGCGCCCTGCTGACCTCAAATAAGCTGAGGAGACTATGTAAGATGCTGATGCTGGATCTTGCACCGGGTATGGCCACCATATTTTGTTGCGAGCCTGTGCTGTCGTGTTTTTTAAGGACTTGAATCTCCAGAAAGTGTAGGGTCTGCTGCTGTTTTTACCAGGTAAGACTAATACAGAATCCTCTGCTGTCTTTAAATGTGGTTTAAGGTCAACACTGCTCAACTCCTTTGGAGTCCATGTTGATGTATTGCTGCTGCCTGGCTCAGTTTGATTGGAAATTCTGAAGCTTCTCGGTTCTGAGGTCTGTCGACTTCCGACTTTAATACCATCAAGATCCTGCTGGAGTCTGGCAGATTTGTCCGGTCCTTGAACTGAAGGTTTGGCTCCCTCGAGTGGTCGAGAGTCGGATCTTTTTGGAGCTTTTGTTATTTTGTAGGTTCTGAATTGTCTGTAGTTGAGGTTTCTGTCCTCACCAGGGTCACTTTTAGGTGTCATTACTTGCATAAACCCTGATACAAACAGCGTGGGTGTTGTGACTGGGATTAAGGTGCTGGGTGAAGGTGAAGAATAAACGACAGGGTTTTTCTCCAACATTACCGGTGGTGTTGTAGTAGAAGCAGATCTTCCTCTTTGGCCAAAACTGTACCTTGGGAGCAGAGCAGGGTAAAAATTTGACATTTTAAACTTATAATGCTTGATGTTCTCAAAGCTGTACTGTTTGGAGTTTGGCTGTTCTTTAAAGGTGAGAGTGGGTGGCTTCTTTACAACTTGCCACACAGGATTTTTAAACTCTTTGAAGCCAAAGATACTTTGTGTGCCCCCTCCTGGTTTTTGGATTTGCACCAAATCTCTTGTAGTTGCATTGACTTTGCTGACTGAAAGAGGTTCCTCACTTCTGGTGGCATACCCATGTGTGGAATAAATGTGAGGTGAAGGGGAAAAACTTGCCATATTCTTCGTTTTTACTGGAGCAAGATGAAGATCGGAAGATTGTTCTGTGATGAGAGGAGGAAGAACAAAGCTGGAGATGGGTCTTTTTAAATCTTTGTGCATCTGTTCATCATTCTGAGCCGCACTAGTATGATGATATGGCAGATTGGAAGTAATTTGCTTTGTTGTATCTTTTGTGTTATAATACCTGGATTCAAATCTGCTGGCAGCAGGTACATCAGAGGGCCTTTGATTATCTGACGTAATGACAGCATTGCTTTGTCCACTTAAAGCCTCTCGTCCATCTCCCACAACTCTATTAACTGAGGTCTCAGGGCCCTTGAAAAGATACGCTTGCATCTTTTTGTGTCTTTGTGTCTGACCATTGCTCATTGAGTCTCGCCCATGGGGGGAATCTGTGATGGATGATGTCAGTTTTTCTGCGCTTGGGTTTGTGTTAATAACGGGGGTGTTTGAGCCATTGCTGATTGATGTTGCGTGAGGAGCCAGATGACGTGTAGAGCTGAGAAAATTGCTTGATTGACTCCCACTCCATGTACTCTGTGCCCCAACTGCTGGAGATTCATTTGTCTCTTTATAGTCACTGTAACGCCTCCTTGGAGTTTCCCAATAACCACTCGTCTGGGATGAAGAAAGAGAAAAAGAAAAAGGGTTTCCAGGAAATTTATCTTCATCCGTCCTTGAAGAATCAGTCTTTGCAACTTGTCCTCTGCTGTAAGGTTTTGGAATATATTTCAGGTCCCACATTTCTGAAAAACTCAAGCTTTGGTGACTGCCAGCTTTTTCTGTAGGTGGTTTTCTAATAATCATTGAGTGGGAATCATGAAAATTTCCAATTAGGGCTTCTTTCTGAGTGAGCGTGGGGTAATTCTCTTTGGACCTCCATCTCTCTGCGCTTTGCCCTCCGTGCTGGGGAGAGGATCTGCTAGTTAAAAAGCTGCTTGCCGGCCTCGCTCCATCTGTTCTATGGCCTCCCTGCACTTTTATTATTCTCACTCGAGACTGCCTGCTTGCTGGGCTGATTTGACCGTCACTGTAAATACCTTGTGTAACCTGTAAAGGTTTTGATTGCAGATCAATGATTGACGGAGTCCCTCTATAATTTCCACTCGTCTCAGTTCCGTCATCAGTTCCAGTGTGAAGTCCAGTTTCTGTTGACAGCAGACCAGTAGAGGCGGGACGATGTTGGCTATATGGAGTGTAAAGTTGTCTCCAGGCATTGTACGTCGCTCCATTGTGCTTCTGAGTTGCTGTGTAACTGGCTGAAAGTGAAAACAGATAGCAAATTATAAACTAAAATATTTTACATATCATATAACCTGGCAATTGGATGACTGATAACTCTAGCAGGTTTAAAGCCCGTGTTATGTCTTCTTGAAAGAGGTCTGATGATTGCCAAAGTTTCACATAATGAGGTCATTGTATCTACAAGTAATCCCTTTGGAAGCTCTGGTTTCAGGCTGCTGTAGATTCTCAGTTTCAGGCTTTGCCCCCCTCATTACACTGTTAAAATTTGATAAGTAGACTTCAAATTTTTTTTATGTTAAACAATAAAATATTGGGTGGTGTTGTTTCAATGGACTCTGAAAATAGGCCACTGTCTTTTCGTTTGCTCTTGCTATAGAGCTCTTAGCACTGGCAATCAGGCAAACACCCAGATATTCAAGGAATTACAACTGGTACGAAACAACAAAGTTTTATTGTATGCTGATGATATCCTACCCTCTCTTTTAATGCTAGCAAAGAAAGCCATGGTGAAGTGGATTGGCAAGGATCATCACTACATTTCTATGTGGAAATCTCAGAGGTTGTGAATCTGGAAAAGCAGCATCTCATCTCTTTGACATAGTTTTTTTTTTTTTGCTTTTGTTTGTTTACTTATATTTAAAAATGTAATAAAAAGAACAGTGTTATGCAAACTTTTCACCCCATGTACCAAAAATGAGAGCTTCACAGGATATTAAACTGAATACATTTTATATAACCTTAGTTTTAAACCAATTTGATTTAACTGACATCTTAACTACGACACTTACAGCAAGTTATTATTTTCTAGAGTCACGGTGATCTGTTAAAATCTTTGCTCTGGAAACAGTCAAACATCCACAGGAAGAACAATCTAAACACAACAGAACTGAAACACTGAACACAACACCGCAGAATTAAAGATGGGGAGCTAAGCAGTCTTGTTACTACAAATGTTTTTTCATAATTATTAAATGAATCATGTTTGCGCCACTATATTTAATGAATAAACATTACCTAAATCCACCGATTCAAATTAAATTGTTTGGCTGCTATGCTATCATCTGCTATTCAACCCTTCTGTTTGCAAGAGGAATCAAGTCAGAAGAAAGTTAGCCTTTAGAGGGCGCTCAGCTTCAGAAAGTGGATGAACTTGGCAGTCTGCACCATGGTCCTGTGACTTGTGAGTCATGCAAAATTCTCTGGCATCTTAGATTAAAAACAGATTCCTGACTGTAACACTTTTATTTCATAATCTTCCCTTATATGATGCAAGATTACTGTTGCTGAAGATGAAATGTTTATTTTCTTCCCTCACAACAGATGGCTGCCCCCCCTGCCTGAAAACCCCAACAATCTTCTCTCTATTATTGCAGGATTTTTACCTTTACAATTTAAAGTGACTTGAGGGGACAGTTGTTGTTGATACTTTATAAATTTAAAAAATGGAATGAAATTAAAATAAGATCCTTACATAAATGACCTGGAAACTGTTTATGACATCCCTGACATGCCTGATAAAAGTGAGTTCTGCCATCATTAACACCATCAGCTTTGTTGAAATAAATACTATGACTCTCCAGCTAACACGTGCACACCAACACCCCACAACAGCCATTAGGATGAGCATGCTTGGGCTCACCTCTCGCAGAATCTGGGCACACAATAAACAGCACGATGGCTGCACAGATCGGCACAAACACAAGGACTCTGGAGAGATAAAAATGTACACCCAAATGTAGATAGATAGATAGAACTGAACTGTCATCACAAATAATTGCTAGTGCTTTTCAGATGTTTTATCTGCATGTGCAAAACCCCCCCACAAAATACTGTGTACTATTTACCTCGGGTGAGGAGCAAAGTTGCCGAACATGATCAGCAACTTTTTTCCAGGTTTATACGACTAGTAAAAGTTGCAGCAGCGCCGTTAGTCGGTATCTTTTACTTGAACCATGTAGGGGATCTTGCAGCTCTGCTGGTGCTTGTCAGTCTGATTGGAGGCAATACAGTTCACCTGGTCTCAGGTGAGCAACTTCCTGGAGCTAAGAGCAAAGGGCTATTTGTTGTTTTACTGACTTCAGTGAATTTTATGTAAACTTTCATTTTTGTCTACACTCCTTTTTCCTTTGAAAGGCCGTACATTTCACCTTCAATTTACTTATCAGCTTTTAATTATGACAATAATAAATTCAAACTTTGTTTTGTTTTTTTATCAAAAGGCAAATCACTAAAAATCCACAGAAAGCTTCAAACTGTGTTTTTAAAAAATGTGTTTATTTTTATAAATATTAAATACTTTCATAAAAACAAACAAAAAACAATAAATATCAAAACAGTTGCATCTGTACATAAGTGGGGCTGAAAAGGCTGCTTTGGCATCACAGTTTTCTACATTTTCTCTCTCATTTGAGGGCAAAAGCTACACAGCGGCCAAACAAGGAATCAAAACATTCACAGTGTCCACATGGCTTTATCATCATCGCCATCAAGTCCATTTTAAGATGATTCGTCACTCATACTGCATTACTCTGGGGCCATAAGGGGCTGCTCAAAACATGTGGCAGGACATCATGGTGAGGGCCCTCAGGTCTTCACTGGTCATACAGTCTTCTGAAAGAAAGAGAGAGCACATTAGAAAATAATGAAAAACTTAATTCAATGTGATGTGCTGGGAACTGCAGGAGCTAATAAGATGATGTAACTGTTGCACTGAGGTTTAGATCATGTTTTTAAGGAAACCTCCCTAAAGTTAAAGAATGTCATTATTGAATAGATACACATGCCAGTTCTTACAAAAGGTACTGACGAAAGAGTGATCAAACCAAACTATAGTGTGACTAAGTTTGCATCTCTTTACAGCACTAATCATTTACTTAAAATAAAAAGTTGGCTATTATTTTCTTTTTAGTTCCTATAGCAGTTGGATCATTCATGTGAAGCTTTTTTCCTTAAGATTTCAGAATAAAATCACTAAATGGATACAAACTTGAGATTTTTAGATGATATTTTGACAGTCTGCTTTCGCTGATACTTAATCAAGGATAAATATACCAGTGAACGTATCATAAACCACAATCAGGGTCTCTCTTACCTTCTCTTCTCTGCTGGCCCTTGCCGCTTAATGCCTGCCAAACTTTCTTCAAAGACCGCCGGAGTCTCCCGCCTCCTGTGCCCGCGGAAGACTCGCTCTCCTCGGCTGAAGTCTCGGGAGCTGTCGCTTCCTCCTCGTCGCCTTGAACCTGATCGTCCACCTCGGGCTCGTTGAGGAGTCCCGCAGCCGTCAGCCGCTCCAGTGCGCTCTCGTCCACCCTCAGCTCGGCTCGGATCTTCCCATGATCGGAGATGGATGTGATGTGTCGGCACAGCGGGCATACGATCAACCTGCCAGCCTCCAGATGCGCATCTCCGGGTCCCAGGGGCCTGGACAGGGCCAAGAGGCAGCTCTCGCAGAAGCTGTGCTTGCACTGGAGCTCCCGGGGACACCGCCGACCCGCGTTGTAGGTCTGGTAACAAACCCCGCACTCGAGTTCCTCTGCGCACATGTCGTTTTCTGATGCTGGCGTTTCGTCCTAAAGTTTGAATGAGTCAGAAGGCAAGCTTTCAGCTTTATTCAAACTGCACCGAGAGAGGCGGGGCTTGGACGTCCCGTCGGAAACCTAACCTTTCAGACCCAACTAAACACGGCCGATGAGTCACAAGCTCCACGTGATGTAACGATACTGCTGACAATGACGCCATGAGAAGTGGTTCCAAAACACACAGACACACACCCAGCTACAGTAACACAGTAACAAGTGTGTATCTACACAGAATATCCACATTAAACATACAGAGTTTGTTTTCATCCCTGAATCGCTCCTTATCTCTCACACACTCCTCTATCACTGTGCAGTACATGACAGGCAGGAAGGCAAGATACAACAAGTCAAGCTCTGTGTAGACATTTCTAATAGTCCCAGGAAGTTATCTTCAGAGATCAGAGAAATGTCTTTCACATATCAGACTAGGCTTTTCCTTCTTATCTCCCTCTACACACTACATACAAACACACACTTCACTTTCACAAACACTGAGGTTGTGTATGTGTGTATATGCGTGGGTGACGTCGGCTCTTCCCTCTCCACAGTAATCCCCCAAATAAAACTCCTCCTTTCAGATAATCCAGCCCTAACTCCTTTCATGGTGATTTCCGCTGTGCCACAGTCTCGGCCAAAAATCACAAACCCAGAACCTCTCCTGTTCTCTCTGTTTGTGTGTTTCCTTGTGTGAGTTGTAGAGTCTTTTGTTCTCTCTGTTCTTTTTACGCCTTCCCACTTTTTCCCCCTGCATTGATCTTACTGTACAGGGTATTATTATGTAAAGCACCAGGTCTCTTTAATCTTAATACTCAAAGGAAAATGGGATCATATCCTGTGAAGTATTTAGTTTTTGTTTTTTTTTTTAGAAAAGGGGTGTTTGGGTTTTTTGTAATGTGTATGTACATGAACCACTTTTCACCTGTTTAACTACAGTCATTATAAGAGACACACAGAACTTATACTGAAATGTTCCGACTAATGTTTCAAGTCAACAAACCTAACCAGGAGTGATGCTCACTGATGCAAATATCCAATTAGCCGGTCACATCGCAGCAACTCGATATATTTAGGCATACGCCTGCCATGTAAACTGGAGCTGCCAGGGATCGAACCACCAACCTTCTGAACAGTAGGCCTGGTCTACCTCCTGATCTACAACCAGGCAGATATAAAGGCAAAATGGGCTCTAACTGGTTTGCTCATGTCTACTTGAGAAGTAGGGCGTGTGTCAATAATTTTAAGGGCTTTCTGAATCTTGCACAACCAACCTTTAAACACAGCATGTGTGATACAAACAAACTAGGCCAACGTCAAAGAACACAAGGGACAGACCTCAGGTGGGTTACATGTCGATTTCACTTGCTGTTTATGCTTCAGTACAAGTTTACAGTTTTATTTGTCATATACAGGAAACAGCAGCACACACTTTATTCCCGGTAAGCAAAGCTAAGTGAACAGGTACGTTCAAAGTAATATAACAATAAACTAAATAGTAGGTCAGATCACTTAGATCAACATGGGTGTGTAAAATGAGTGAAAAAACACTTTAAGTTCAACAGTTAAGATTTTTCAATATGATTTTCCTAAAGTTACAAGTTAAACTGTCTACTGTGAAAATTCTCCACCTGAGCTGTTTCAGGTTTCTGAGCTGGTCAGCAGGATCTCAGTAATGCTAAAGAGAAAGGAACCAGCTGTCAATTAAAAACCAGTGATGGTCTTTGCATGGAGCCTGCATCTCACATGTTTATATCGCTGTATTAATTCAAAGGTGTAAAAACTATACACCTTCCAAACCAAAACCATAGTTTTGACAACAAAGCCACTGAATGATTCAAGGAATCTGAACATGTATGCTACAGCCTTCACAGCCACCAGATCTCAACGTGGCTGAACAATTGTGAGAGATTTTTGACCCATTTGCTATATAGTTATATATATGTGTGTGTGTGTGTGTGTGTGTGTGTGTGTGTGTGTATAAACTGCAAGGATGTTTAATAACTTCCGCCTAAGCCATACTTTCTATTTTAAAATCCCAACATGCTGACTGTGTGGAAGCATAATAACATGATACACAAGCGGAGTAGTGCAAGTCATGATCGAGAGACACCAGTCTGTCATTTTCTGTCTTTTGTGTCCTGGTTACCTTTACATCACTGAGGGTTTAATTACTGCTCAGAAAGCCACACAGGTGCCTCACTGGGGACCAGACGGATAAAATCAGGTGAGACTGAGCGAAAACAAAAGGTTGCCAGTCAGCTGAGCTCAGACATTATAAACTCGCCTGATTAATGTGCACTGTAACGAGAACAGATCTGTACCAACATGAGAGAAACTGCGTGTGCCTGTGAAGAAGAAGGCGCCGGTGTTGTAGGTGGGAAACAAAGGTTTCTTGGATGAGAGGGAAGCGGAGCGCAGTGGGTAAGTGACTCTCTAATCTCTTTTACGTTTGTGATGATGGAGCGCTGCCAGTTACTCTGTGTACAGTCCCAGCAGGCCCGCTGGCCTAGAAAAGAGTTCACTTAAGTATGCATAGCTGTCTTCCACAGATCGCTTTCATTCACTAAAATGCTTAGTTTGGCTCTAAAAGTCGACTTTCTGTTCTCATTGCATGAATGTGCTGATGACTTATTGAAGAAAGGCTTTCAGGTTGCCATGGACCGATACAAAGGGGACCCCGTGTGCTAAGCAACAGTCCCCCACTGAGTGTGTGTGGCTTGCCTCGTCATTGTCCCGTGTGAGACACAAATATAGAAAAGCAAAGCGCCAGTAAAGCTACACAATTCTACTGATTCCTTTCATAAATCACAGATCAAATGACATCAACAAATGTTACAGACTGTAAGTGTGTCTGACCAAAAGGTCTTACGCCTTAAAGTAAAGTATTGTGTATTTCCTTGTATCGTTTTTATGGTATATACAGTGCCGTGGGAAAGCCTTGACTGTGCCATGATTGCTTTACATTTTGATTCCAAGGAGCCAGAGTTCTTGTAATTTTTAAAGTTGACTTGAGCAGTAGTTCTCCACAATTTCCAAAGGTCACGTTCAGTCCAGTCCTTATACCTGACCATTTCCAGAGGAGTGGTTTTGTATTAACCACTTAACACTCACCTGTGAACCACTCAAGTCTAAAACGTATCTAACTCGAGGGATGAACGATTTTTGTGTCTACACATAACAGAAAACTTAGGAAAAAAACTTTGTTAATACAACCTGTCACATATATTTATTTAGTTAAATCTATGAGAATGCCAAAGATAGTTTGACAGACATAAAATGGTGTGTTTTTACCAACAAAGTGAGTCTCAAAGACCTATCAGCCCAAAGCTTTGCATATTTCAGCATGGAGTGCAGTGTGTCCTCAAAAAATCTGAGGAAACTGGGCAAAACAAGAAGCAGCAGGTCTAAAAACTGAATAGTAGGCCTGGTCTAAAAACTATCTACGGCAGATGAACAATTTCTGAAAGTGATACCCTTAAGAAATAGGAAAAAGTCCCACAAAGATGTGACACAGGACCTGAGAGATGTATGTGACCCTTCATCTTATCCATCTACTGTTCACTGAAGCCTCATCAGAAATGGTCTCAGTTGAAGGCTGACTGTCAAGAAGCCATTCTTAAGGAAAGGAAAAGGAAAGGCTGAGGTATGCCAAATTAGAAAATTTACATTTAAATTGTATCTACTGGCACATCAGCAACTTTCTACATCCACCTGTGTAGCACGGCTCCTTAAAGAAATGACTGGTGTTTGCCTTGTATTCTTTATTCTTATGTATTCTACTCTTGGCTCTGTATGTCAAAGACAGGGGTTATCTTTATATCTGAAGCCACAGTCACCTGCTGTTCAAACCTTCTGTTTATTATAAACAACCAATTACAAGAAAGTTGCCTTGAAGAGAGAGGCACTAAAAATGGGTTGTTTTTGTCACAGGATGAACAGTGGAGCTGCACTTAAGTATAAGAAAAAAAGCATTATTTAAAATATAAATTATGCAAAGCTACTGTAGTAGAATCCAAGAATCAGAAACTGTGGAAATGAGCATAACAGTTTCCCTGAATTTGACTTCTGGCAGCAGCTTCTCATTGCAGACAACCTTATCAATCTTCACATCTAAGTAATGACAGAAAAGCAAAGCAGAGCATTTCCCAAAAAGTCTTCTTCCCATAAACATTTTATTTGACTCTAACACAGCCACGGTGTTAAAATGCTGGGCTGCTGTGTCAATTCAACACACCTTTTGAAAAGAGTCTTTGTGTTAGAGATCCACTTAGTTGATTTAAAATTACACTTCCATAAAGTAGAAGAAAGCCGGTAAAAGCCAGCCCAACAAAAACGCTGGGTCTTACATCACCCTGAGTTAATCCTAGTTCAGTATGACATCACTCAGTAAATAAATAATGACTTCTGGCACAGCAACACAAACCACTTCCCCTAAGTGCCTCCAAATACAGTAATTTTGATACCAACATTTCTTATGTTTTCTTAATTTAAAAAAAAATCAGCTGCTTTGAATGACTGAAGTGGAACAAGCCTGAGCTGGGAAAAGACGACGTGCTCTGACAAACACCCACACACTAAAAGTGACTGATTACTTCCTTTCCCGACTATTTTGTATATTTTTCTCTGACTGTGTGTGTGTGTCTGTGTTATCTAGCACGCACTCAAGGGCAAAGGTGATTGTGAGTAAGTGACGGGGGTGGTGGATGGTGGACGTGTGAGCGGTTAAACGGATGATTGCTATGACTCATGGGCCGTGGAATCTGTTCATGAAAGTTAAAGAAACAAAGGATCTTTGGGAGAGCAGATCCTGATGTTTCTATCTCACGGAAAGTCGACATGAAGTTTATGTTGATCCTGTTTTCTCTCTACAGAGTTTAACATCTTTAGCTAAAAACTCATCCCCGACTTGCCTCTCGCCAGTTCTTCTACATCCACCCGCTCCCACACCATGTCAGGGCATGTTGCCCCAGTGCCGCAGAAGGGGGATCCCGCTGCTGCTTCCGTGCCCAGC